GTGCTTATTCAATGGTTCATGTTCGCAGTGTATTGACAATGTTCCAATCCTTCAAATTGACATGGTGTGGTGCTATTTTATGCTTCGTGACATCAACTTGCTCGCATTGGCTGGTGAGCGTCTTGCAAAAGCTAGAGTAGGTATTGAACGCTCCCATGGAAAGAATGCATCTCGTGCAAGAGAGCTCCAGAGTAGTCGTAGCCCAGAGATTGCATTGTAGGTTACCTCCTTCTTTCCTATTATGTAGTTTTTCTGGGAAGGAAGACTGCTGCATAATTCTATTTTTGTTTGGTTCCTCCTAGATATTTGAGGTTAGAGCTCTTGGAAGGTGTTGCAGCTTTTCACTGTGGCAAATTGGATAAATCTAGAGAAGCTTTGACATCTGCCAAAGCAAGATACTCTAAGGTATGCATTATGCAACAGTTTGTTCTATCTTGTGTTATTTAAGATTATTATCAGCGGCTTACCTCCTTTGATCACCTCCCTAACTGATTGTCTTTTAATCTGTTTGATATTCAAGAAGTAGATGTTTCTTTTGGAAAATTGAAGAATCTGTTAAACTTTTTTCCACCCTGCTCTTAAAAATCAGGGGCACCCTTTCTATGTAGATCCTTTTCTGCTTTTCCTGTGTGCCATTATGTTGTTATTTTGGAAATTTCCACATTGCTTTTGCACAGTACAGGTTTGTCTTATAGAGTTTCTAGGTGTTGTATCGTGTATCTGGCTATCTGCCTTTGTGATAGAATGATTTTGGCCAAGAGATTATGAGTTTGGTGACTGTTTCATGCGTAAACAGTTTGAGGATTCAGGCTAAGAATAATGAGCTATTCTCTATTAAAACTAGATGCAGTCCAAGGTAGTACTTGATTTTGAAGTGGATGGATTGATTTGTTTGCTGGTTTTTGAGACTATTAAAGATTTCATGATCCTTGTTTTGCTGTCTCTATTGCTGTATCTCTATTTACTATTCATATTCACCCTATACCTTTTGCCTAATATCAGACAGGCTTCACATTACTGCTGTAAATGATGATGTATATATATATTTTTTTTATTCAGCTTCAAGTATCAGATGAAGCCTTATCACTGCTAATGAGCATGGGCTATCATGAATATGAAGCTAAGAGAGCTCTGAAGATGAATGAGCAGGATGCTGAAAGTGCTATCAATTTTCTAGAGGAGGAGAAAGAAAAGAAGGCAAAGAAGCGGGAAGATGATATCAAGCGTCAACAGGAAATTAGGTATTTGTTCATTAATTCTAATTGTTCCATTTAGTTGCTTCTTTATTCTTATCATGTTTAACTTCTTGCAGGGAGCAGAAGAAGTTTGGAAAGACTCCCCTTGGCAAAGCTGTTGATCTTCAAATGGTGCAAGTGTTAGAGACCATTGGGTAAGCTCACTTGTTCTTCCCGTCCAAAAAAAAAAAAAAAAAAACTCACCTGTTCCCAAGGCTATTTCCTACCTATAATTGTTATGGCCAAAGGTGATTATTTGTAGGAAGTTTTCTACTTAGATTGATCTTTTGTGTTCGTCATTCACACATCCTTATGAACTAACATTATACTAAAGGTGTAAAAATGCAAGAGGGATGCGATCTACTTCAAGCAAATTTGTCACTCCAGTTAATTATTGTTGACCTGTAAATGACTGCATCTAAAAATATTCTGTAGTACTATATGACGTCAAATCCAGGAAAAGGCAACTTGCTGCTCATCAAATATTTTGCTATATCATTTACCTGTCAGGTTGACCGTCACCCAAAATAAAAAGTAGACTTAAGGGATTCTAATATTAAAAAACTTTTAAAATTTTTAAGATCAATGCACTTGTATGTGAAGCAGAATCAAGCATATTCTGTCATCAAAGCTTTAAGTTGCTCCTTTTTCAGGTTTGAGAGGGAGCTTGCTGCAGAAGTCCTCCGAAGGCATGAGAATGACACACAAAAGGCTTTGGATGATTTGACTAACCCAGAGCTTAACTCTAAGATACAGGTAACTATTATGCCCTTCGTACAATACAACCCTTTTATTGGTATTCTGAGTGGCTTCAACCCTTATTTATATTTCCAAATTCTTCATTTGCCTTCATTTTGTTTGCAGCTTGATATTGAATCTAAGAAGAGGAAAAGACAACAGAAACATGTGGATTCAATAACTGACGAACTTGTATCCATGGGTTTTGAAAGATCACAAGGTATATTTACCTGGTATTAAATGCAGTTTTTTTTATCCTTATATTTTGATGACCTCTGGTTTGAATTATTTTGTTCCTGAAAGTATTTAGTAAGTCCTAACCACTTTGAATTTTCTTTTATTTGTTTTGAAGGGATACCTTAGTACCTTAGTGCACCAATGCACCATTGACAAAGGAAATTTGTTAATGATATTTTCATGTCTTTAGCCCTAGGATAACATACTTTCAAATTGTGTGAATATCACCATATAAATGTATTCCTGGTTCTTAACCACTAAATTGCAAGCCCTATGTCCTTTGGACCCTGGGTTGTGGGAAATTAAAAGTATTGGGGATCTTTAATTGGTCATTTATTTATTGAGTGTTTGAAATTTTTTTCTGAGGTTAATTTGTGCAACCTCTTGCAGTCTTTCTCTGGTATATGAAGTATATGAATTATATGATAATCTCGTATCCTTTAGGCTGACATGAATACTTATGTTTCTAATGAGTGTATTATATGTTTGCCCCCACTAGAAAAATATTGACATAGGATGTAAGTTGTATGCCTCTTCTGCCATGTCCTTCCGCAAACGACTTATCTGATTGAGTTTTGGTACGCAGTGATTGCTGCGGTTAATTCCCACGGAACAAAAACTGCGGCATTAAATGAGCTGCTTGCACAAGGTCAGATGTCCTCTGCTTCTGTTGATGGCTCTATACCAAGTTTCGATCCTGCTACCAGTTCAACTGCCGGAGAAAGACTAAACTTGCCAAGTTCCAGTGGTGATGAGAGAGAGAGTCCATCAAGTTCTCGTGAAGGGGAAGAACGAGACCTTGAGATGGAAGATGAACTCGTAGAGGAATTACATAGAGGTGACGCATTTTCAGATTATGACATTGATGTGACCAAAGAAGCCGAAGCTCTTAATGAATATCTGGCCTTGCTTGATTCTGCCATGGTTAGAAGTAACTGAGAGGAGAGGTCTGACCTGTTGATGCTGTAAATACTGCATAGAATGAGCTCTTATCGTGGCGATGCTGATGCATCTAACAAAAACCAGCAGGTCAACTATTTATTGACTTCTCGATAGTCATAGTTACAATCAATAAGTTGTTGCATAGACGGGAAGAAGTCAAGAGGTATCTAGAATATGCTGATGGTGTACAGAAATGGTAGGGATTGCATTGCTCAGTGGTCAGGCTACGGTTTTGTAAAGTTGTTTTACTCTTAAAGTTTCTTTGGGAAGGCAGTTTTTTATTTTTAGTTTGAAGTGGCTAGCATTAGTAGATCAAATACCAATGATAAACTTATATAGAATTTCAGCTTTTAAATCATTTACTAAGGGTGTTTTTGAGGCTCTCTTCTTGACTTGCAGTTTAGGGCCAGGCTTGGCTTAATTTACGAGTATAACAGAAGTCTATTTACCTTATCTGCTTGTTTTTATTTGGAACAGATATTCGAAAAAGCTCGAATTATATTTATTTGACTTGGAACATTCAACTTTGATAGGTGGTTAAGTTCTCAAGCATGTTCACGAACCCCGCTCTTTTTATCCCATCCACTACCTAATAATATTGCAGAGTACGAAATTATGCGGAACAAGAATTGGAATAACCAAATTAGAGCAATCCAACAATGATAATTTGATTATTATGGACATCACAAAAATGAGGAAATTGGTTTTTCCTCGTGAGGAAAGCTGATATTCCTCACCCCATGAGGAAAATTGAAAATGAACAGTAGCAAGTGGGGCTCACCACCACTTGCTACTTATTTAATTTTTTTTGCTTGCTTGCTAATTTTTTATTATATAAAAAATGTGAATATGGTGATTTGTAAGAGAGAGAAAATGTTGGTGGGGTATTGAAAGAAAGAGAGAGATTGGTGAGGATTTTTATTTTATTTTTATTTTTATTGGTGGGATAAAATTTCCTCACCAAATTTCCTCACGAGAAAAATGGAGATTTTAGAGTGAGAAAGGGGGTAGAGAGAGAATGAGGAAATCATTTTTTCCTCATTATTGAAAGTGCTCTTAGTTGTCCCAAACTAAAGTAAACATATTCAAGGCAATTTCAATAAGTCTTAGGCCAAGGGTCTAAATTGCACAGAGTGCAACAACAACAACTTGGTCTAGTTTGCCTTGATCCCTAACTGGTTTGACCCAAAATAAACTAAATCATGCATTATATCTTGGTTTCACAAACACTCTTTCTCCACACACTCCTTATTTGCTTCAAAATTATATAATAATAAAGATTGTTATATTATCAACATACCTTGTCTTATAACTATGGCATTTAAACAAATAATGTTTTCATGTAAACAGTTGGTAAATATATTAATAAAATTTTCAATTTCTCCTGATATGTAAAAAAAAAAAAAAAAAAAAAACCTAGCCATCTCCTCTCAATTTCTCTCTCTATGGTTCCTCAAAAAAAAGTGTTTCATAGGCCGAAAATAGTCGGGATTTGCTATTTCCGACCCTTTCCCTTTAGTTTCTTTATGTTTTTATTATTGAATTCAATAAATTTACACTCTTTGATGATAGTTTATACCCCTATAGTGGGTTTGAGGGTAGAAAGTGCCTCTATGGTGGGCTTTGTTCTAGTTTTGTTTTTGTTTTTTAGTATAATATGGTATAAGTTGTTTCATGAATGGGTGGTTAGATTCCAATCCTCTCCCAATTGTTGTTGCAGGGGATTGAACACGCGGTACTCCTTATCAAGTGTAGCCCCAATCACCACTACCCCAATGACCAATTGAATATATTTGTTGAATTAAAGGTGTGTGTTTTTTATGAATTACAACTTATTCAAACCGATAATAAAGCATTAAACAATATCAAGAATGATAACCAAAACATAAGGTCGAATTTCATTTATAGAAGGGGAGATCAAGTAAGAATGATAACCAAAAAATGAGTACGGAGTAGTAGACTAGTAGTAGCTTGATTAAATACTCTTTAATTAATTAAAAGAAAAAATAATAAAAATCATTTTCAACAGCCCACCTTCGAATCGCCATCTCCATACATACTCTCTGTCCTCTCTCTCTCTCTTCATTTACCGTTTCCCCAGTCAACACGGACAACTCCTCGAAAAACCCTAGAAACCTCCTCAATCTTCTATTATACATTCATTCAATTCAATTCCTTCTCATTTCAATTCAATCCAATTTAATTGTTCCAGATTCATTTGTTTCCCAGCTGAATTTGTTACAAAAATTAGCTAAAATGTCGTCGGAAATCGAAATAGTTGAAGAAGAAGTCGTGCAATCGAGAGATCGATCAATGGCGGCGGAAGCTTCATCGTCGACTTCAATGTTGGAGGAGAGAGAAAATGAGGAGAGTTTGAAAGACGATGTTTACACTGCTGCGGCGTATGGTGATATGGAGAAGCTTCAGAGATTAGTGGAGAGAGAAAATTGCTCTGTTTGTGAACCTGATGCTCTTGGTTACTTTGCGTTGCAGTGGGCTGCTCTGAATAATCGTACTGCTGCTGCTCGCTACATTCTTGAGGTTCTTCGATTCAAAATTTTCTGCCATTTTTTTCAATTTTTTTTTTATTGATTTTATGTATTGAATTGAATTAGTTTTGTGATTGTGATAATGTTGGAAGCAATGTGGTTGAAGGCTGATTGTGTTCAGAAATGTTAATTTGAAGATGTTATTAGCTTGAGCTTGATTTCGAATGTTTGTTAAGTTTGAGTTTTTGTGCAAGGTTAGTTGCTGCATTTTTGTGAATCAGTTAAACTTCAAAACTGTTTCTTTTTTTGGATGAATGGGAAGATATTGAGGAAATTTGAACTTGTCCTTTATTCGTTTATTTCCACATGTATGTGGTATTATGGTGAAGCTTTTATAGTATGTTTTTGCATTGAATAACATACTCCGTATGATGCTAGGCATGTTGAATTCACCTCTGAGATTAGGTCCAATTTCGGGTGCTATATCTACCATTTGTGGTGTATTTAGGGGCATTTTAGGGGCTTGCTTACCAACTAGGGGTTCATCTTTGGGAGAAGAGTGCAGGATAATGCTTTGATTACTCAATTTCCTGGAAGAGTCTAGTGGTCAATGCGATTGAACTTTGATTGTTTTTGCCATTGCACATTTTGGAGGGCTATGAAATGAGCTAGTTTAAGCGATTGGCTGATTGCACCTGTTGGATAAAGACACCCTCTGTCTGTCCCGAAATAATAGGTAGTCCTAGGAACATTTGATATTGGGGTCAAATTCAAGGGATTTAGCTGAAAGCCTGAAATATTACAACTATCCTTTACTTTTATCATTTTTGTAAATCTCTATCTTACAATGTTGCCTCTTTTCTAGATCCTTATAAGACTATCATTAAGGCTACTGCTGAAACTATTATATTACTCTATTTGGAATTTAGCTAACAAACTACTCCTTCCATTTCTTCTGGTTTGCTCGTGTTTCATTTTGTTCCTATTCACACACTTCATTTGACTTGTCAAATTCGTCTATAAATTTACTTTCAAATTCTCAACTTTTTATAATGTTTACTTATATATATTTAACGGCTATTTCACCAAATGCCACTGAGCAATTGCGAAATTCACCAAACGTCATGAGCCTTTTCCAAATTCACCAAATGCCACCAAAAATTCACCAAGTGCCATTAATGACCGATGACCGTTAGTTGATCCCACCACTTGCCACGTGTCAACTTCTGATTGGTCCTTTTTTTAAAAAAAATAATTAAAAAAAAACCAAAAATATTTTTTAAAAAATATAATAATAATAAAAAAAAGCCCAAACCCCAGCCACCACCCCCTCCCTGCCGCCGAATCCCGAAACCCTGCCGCCGGCGACCTGCACCCTTACCGGCAGGTGCGCCGACGACCGCCGAAGCAAGTCCTCCCCTTCTCCTACTCTTTCCCGACGCGACACACCCACCCTTAAACCCCAAAAAACGAAACTCCATTAAAGATTCACCCACTTCCCAAAACCCGACCGAAAACCCCAAACCCGACCGAAAACCCCAAACCCGACCAATTGGTGGTCGAAGGGGGTGCGAGGAAAGGGAGTGGAAGGAGGCTGCCGGATTTTTTTCAAAGGTTTAGGGCTTTGCTATGGTGGTGGGTTCAGGGTGCGCTGCTGTGGGTTAGAGGTGAGAAGGTGGTTTGTGGTCGGATTGGTGCAGTGGTATCAGGGTGGTGCTGCTGATGTGGGTGGCAGTGAGAGGGTGGCTGGTTCAATCGGTGGTGGGTGGGATTGACGAGGGGACTGGATGTGGTGGCTATGGATCGGAGCAGCTGTTGCGGTAGTGATGGTGGGAATTGCAAGGGTTTGGGCTAGGGTGGGTGGCGCGACGGGGGAAGAGGAGGGGAAAGGGAGGGGGTGGTGGCTGGGGTTTGGGCTTGGGGTTTTCGGTCGGGTTTTGGGAAGTGGGTTTTCCCAATACTCTTTCCCTTTTTTTGTTCTTGTTTTTTTTCCCCTTCTCATATCATAACTAAGGTGCTTCAGGGTTGGGTGGTATTTGGTGGTATCTTGAAATTTGGCTCTTCTTGAGAAAAGGGATTGTTCTCAGTTGTTGGAAGATAACATACAAATTCCTTTTAGGATATAATTGTCAATTGTCATTAACACTAGGAGAGTAGGAGATATATTCATCATGGGCCATAATGGGTAATCAAGTAAAAGAGGTTAGTATTGTATCATATTATAGGTAAATGGCTATTGATAAATTGTATGGAACTATAAACCACAACACCTATTATAGTATACATAAGGCAATGTATTAAAATACTCCAAAAGTCATGATATCTCAGTGAACATCCTTATTCTTTATGATTTTTTATTTGGTGAATTGGTGTTCATTTAGAAATTTGGGCTTGTTTTAGATACTATCAGCATATGTAGCTTAGGAGGCTCTATTGCATTTCGTTTCCTGGATTTAATTTATACGCTCAATTGTTCATGCTGGTGAGCGGTTGGGTATCCTATGTGAAACATCAGGGAGTTGTTTCTGTTTGGTGAGATGAGTATTTGTGATTTTATTGTGTTCTTCTCATTTGTGAGAGCCTTTGTGGAGCTGTGTCGACTAGCATTTGCAGATAAATTAGATTAAATGCTTGAAAGTGTGGGTTTTATTATTTTCCTGTATTGGAACATTTACAGGTTGTTTTGGCTAATTCTGCTCCTTCAGTGTTATTTGTCACAGGGCTTAATGTTGTTTTTCACAATTTATCCCAGCACTCGTAGGTTTGTGTTGGTGAAATTGTGATATATTACTTATAAGATAGGGCCATTGGAGACTCTGTTAATCTGCTTTTTAGGCATGGTGTAAACATTTGTTTGTTTGCTGAGTTGAGTTTTATAGCTGTTGGTATATGTGCATAAGTAGTTTTCTCTTTAAACTTTGGTCAGTATTAAACTTTTAACTAATTGCATGGTTTTTGTTGTTTCATTCTTTATCTATAGCATGGTGGAGATGTAAATGCAGCTGATCACACTGGGCAGACAGCATTGCATTGGAGTGCTGTACGGGGAGCAGTCCAGGTTGCTGAGCTTCTCTTGCAAGAGGGTGCTCGAGTTAATGCTGCTGATATGTACGGTTATCAGGTTGCCCCCTTTATCTGTATTTTTATAGAATTATGGGAGGTCATTTATTAATTTGCTAGTGAAGCTGTCGAGCAATTGGTGTAGTTATCCAAATCTTATTCCTTTTTTATGGAGGGGTCTTCTTCATTTGTTCCATGTTCTTAAAGTTTAGTTTTCTTTAATTTCCTTTCAAGTAAGACTCACATTCTTTACCTTATGCTAAGTGAGATTACTTTGACCTGAAAATTTACTTTTGTAGTTATTGTTTCTGGAAGACAGGCAAATTAGTATCTAAGCATTATCATCATTGTACCATGATTTTTTTAGGCTTGAAGGATATGTTAAATAAACACGTGTACTGGATAAGTGGATAGTTACTGTTTGATTAGATGTTGGGAGTGCCAAAATATGTTTGGTTGAATACAAGAAATTCTTTTGCCCATGAGAAGTTCTGCTTTCTTTGGGGATTTGGCAAGTAACTTCCTCCATGAATTTTCTAGGAAAAAGCCGTGTAATTATCGACCAAACACATGGATATATTTCTACTTCCCAGGAAATAGATCTGTAAGTATACCAAACAAGTAGTATTTCTCATGTTCAGGTTGAGTAGCATTACATTGATAACCATTCTAGTTTATCTGATTTATTGATAGAAAGCTTTTGTAGCATTTTTGTTGAAGCAATGAAGCACAAGGTACATGCTGGGAATTTTTGAATGATTTTTGCACAAAACTTATACGTGTGAAGAGGCTGAGATGTTCTGTTTAGTGCAAAGGTTATTTGTTTGCGAATTTTTTGAATGATTTTTGCACAAAACTTTTGTGGGTTTCTGACATATGATATGTTTAGTGCAAAGGTTATTTTAACTTAGTGCATGATGTTTATTTCATGTACATTGAAGGACTAAGCTGAATACATTGACCATAGTATAGCTAGGATGTTCACTGGTCTGTAATTAGGTTGGAGACTTGAAACTTAAGTTTGTGGACTGGAGATTAAATTGGAATCCTTTGTGTACTTTGGTGTTCAAATTCTTTTATTCAAATTCAGTGGTGATTCACCCTGTGATGTCATTAACCCCCTAGTAAACCAGATCTGTTTCACATAAGTAGTTTTTACTTGATTGTACTACTATGAGTCTGACTGCACCATGTAGGTTATTGTGTAGCTACAGGGGCATGTTCGTTCTCTTGCTGTTTTCTTTAATTTTGTAGTGATAATTTTATGGTTTTGGCTAGATAACTGATAACTCAGTTCTCCGGTGATTAGCTATGGAAAGCTGGTGGTATTACAAGTTTGTATTTTTGTTCTAGCTGGTTATAATATTGTATTATGATTTTTATTTTTAATTAAATTTATACAAGTATATGTGTTTCACAATTAGTAAATGGACAGTTTTTCTGCTTCATGCTTCAATGTTGCAATAGTAATGACTGGTGAGCTATTTGCAGACAACTCATGTTGCAGCCCAGTATGGCCAGACAGCTTTCCTTTATCATATTGTTATGAAATGGAATGCTGATCCAGATGTTCCAGATAATGATGGAAGAAGTCCTTTGCACTGGTATGAACAGAACCTCGTGCTTGAATTAGAACTGCTACTTGTCCAAGGCTTGGTTGCATTAATTCTTTTGTTGTCAATTTTTCATTGCTTATTACGTCTATTCGAAAGGCCAGCAAACTTCATTTCCTCAAGGACCTTTAGAGTTTAGAGTCACAAATTGACCTTTTCTTTTTGAAATCATTGAGAATAAAGTAAATAAATTCATTGGCGCTCTCTCTAATTAACTTTTTTGAATTTTACTCTAGTTATTGCATTTCCACATTTTCTGTTTCTGATTTCCTTTTCCCATTTAACATAGTGGATAAATTCAAGTTATTACTCTTAATATTTCATGTATGGCTCTGGTACCCATTCATCCCTGATTAAACATTTGTTAAATCTTGCTAGAAGAGGCTAAGCTATAAAAAATGATAATGTATTCATTGTAAGGGGGAAAAAATTACTCACATGATAGCTCACAATTCATGATGTCTACATTTGAATTTTGTGAATGTTGCTGTATTTTCATTAACAATAAATGAGTGAAACAAGTAACATTTTGTATACTTGTATTGAATAAAAAGAGATTCTGCGGTGTAAAATTTTGAATGTAGATGTGCGTTGTTCATGTGGTTGACTTGGTATGTTGGCAATGTAGTTGTTCTTTTCTCTTCTAGAAATGTACAATAATATTTTTGGTGTTTGTTCACTTGAAATCTGACAACCATAGGGCAGCATACAAAGGATTTGCTGATTCTATACGTCTTCTTCTCTTTTTAGATGCTTATCGAGGACGGCAAGATAAGGAAGGTATAATGCTAATTTCTGATTATTTCTGTGCAGTCTGATATGAGTCCATTATTGAAGCTGAATCTATGTTTAAAATTTTAGTTTATGTGTTATTTGTGTTCTCTCTTTCTTGCATTTAGGTTGTACCCCTCTCCATTGGGCTGCCATTCGAGGGAACTTGGAGGCCTGCACGGTTTTGGTACAAGCTGGAAAGAAAGAAGACCTGATTGTGGCTGATAACACTGGACTCACTCCAGCACAATTGGCTGCTGAAAAGAATCACAGACAAGTTGCCTTTTTCCTTGTAGGTCTTGCATTCTAAACTGGTTTGCTTATTTATAATGTGTGTTTTGTATGGGTGCGGATCTTCTTTGTACATTTGATATTATGTTTATAGACTTACAGTAGCTATTGATTGCAGATGAGCCTTCTTTAACCTTTCTTGTCTTATTAAGTACCTATAGATCATTGACACTTTTTTAATGATCATATTATCTTCTGTATATCATCTTTAGCGCAGGCTACTCAATGATGTGTTGTATTTGGTGAACTCAACTCAGTTCTCTGTTTGTTTCTTGCACTATTAAAGAATCCTGAATCTGCTTAAATTAAGTTTGTGTAGCTCTTAGATATTGCAACCTTGGCTATCAAAGCTTGAACATAGTTAAGGTGTTTATGATATCTTTTAACTCACTCGAAACACTTCCAATAAGATATTGTAACTTTTGCAATCTGTTTGTGTCACCTTTTGTACTGTATCTCTTTCAAAAGAATTTTATCTGGCATGTTTTGCTTCTGAATATATAAATTTTGTGCAGGAATGTAATGTTAGAATGTGATTTCTTAGATAATATTTTTGACATCATCCACTTCCTGTTTTTTGTTAGAAGTGGCTGGCAATCTAGGTATAAAATGATATAGTTGTTAAGAAGTATTTGACAAATGGGAGAAATTGCTCTAGGAGAGGTCATTTAAATCTTAAGGTCCTGCTACTTTCATATCTCTCCATGGTTTACTTACCCTCAATTCATGTGCACTGAAGTATATATAGGATCAAAAAGGGCAATGCTTGTACTTAAGATCCTTTTATTGCCTCTCTTACTATGTGCAATAATTTTGCCCCGGATTCATTGCTGTACTTATTGCTGTATGCTGATCATTGATTTCATGTTCCCTGATACATTTGCTCCTGCAGGGAAATGCTCGAAGGTTACTCGACAGACGTTGGGATCCAAACAGCTGGCTTGGGAAACTCTCAAAATTAGGACTTGCTCCTTTGTTGTGGTTTATTATTTTGTTGCTACTTGTATTGTATGCACATTCAGTGATCTTGGGTAACTACCTTTGATCATTCAACTAAAATTCAACTAAAATGTAACTTTGTGTTTGATTATATGAATTTGACAAATTTTATGAAACCTATAGATGCGAAGCTTCCAAGGTTAACAATGGGCTTTGGCCTTCTTGCATGGCTAGGTTTTTTCCTAGCTACCGCTGGATTAGTCATGTTCTATAGATGTAGCAGGTAAGCTTAGTTATCTCCATGGCTTCCTATTACTTGAGTGCTTCATGAAGTTGATCCCGTCACTTGTATACCAAGGTTTACAATTTATGATTGAGGTTTTTTTTTCCCCTGAGGTTTCTATTATCAATGAAATCACTTTCTCACTTAGCTCATCTTGTGCTTGTTTCAGAAAGGATCCAGGTTATATCAGAATGAATGTGCATGATGCTCAAAATATGAAGGATGATGTAAGTTGAAATGTCGTACTGGAGTTTCTGCTGATGTTATATTAAAAAATTGTTTTTGTTTTATGTGTTACTTTGTGTTGTAACTTGATAGTGCTTTCCTTCTCACCTCTGCAGGAACCCTTGTTGAAAATTGAGATAGACAATCCTGCCCTGGTCGCTGGAAACTGGTCCCAACTGTGCACAACATGCAAGGTATAGTGAATTTTTGTATTTTGGTTGCTTCTGGTCCATGTAATTACTGTGTGTAGTAATTTCTAATATTTTCTATTTGTTGTGTTGATAGATAGTCAGACCTCTTCGTGCAAAACACTGTTCAACATGTGATCGTTGTGTTGAACAATTTGATCACCACTGCCCTTGGGTGTCAAATTGTATTGGCAAGGTACACGAGCTCTGTATCTGTTTCTTCTATCATTATATAAGTCTTGTGTTCTGTTGAGGATTTTTGTGAAGCTAATTATGAATCTTTGTTTAACTTTAATGTGTAAAACTGTGTAAAAATGATAGCTGTCCGAGGAAGTTACTAGTATCACATGCTATTATGTTAATGCTGACCATTTAGGATGGACTATTGATTTAGATGGTTGTGGTTCATTTGCTCTGTCTAGTTGGCTTACTAACATGGATATTGGGTTTACTTGTGTTTATATAAATCTGCTTTGTTTTATGCATTGATCTGGTGCTGCATGGCTTGAATCAGCTGATATATGTGAGAACTCAGTCTCTGTTTTGTTGATGCAGAAAAACAAATGGGAGTTCTTCATGTTTCTTGCACTGGAAGTTTCTGCTATGATAGTTACTGGCCTAGTCACTCTTATAAGTATGTGACTTGCTTTGTTCTGTTACTTTTACGGAGTTGTATTGACACTTGAAAATTTCTCTTTGTTGGCTTATAATCTTATTTGATAATTCAAATACAGGGGTTGTCAGCGACCCATTGGCTCCGTCTTCTTTTGGAGCATGGCTAAATCATGCTGGTACTCATCATATTGGTGCCATATCATTTCTACTTGCTGATTTTTTCCTCTTTTTTGGGGTGGCTGTCTTAACTGTTGTCCAAGCTTCTCAGGTGTGTTTTCAAATTTTGTTCATAATGAATTTCTGTTGGTCTGTCTTTATTGATTTTGCCAAATGTTCTTTTAATTTTAATTTTTGCTGCTTGTGCTCTGCAAGTACATGTCTAAGTGAAAGTTATTTATACCTTGTGTTGGGGTGTTTGATCAAAAAGACAGTTTTTTTTTTTTTTTTTTTTTTTTTTTTTTTTTTTTTTTTGGGGGGGGGGGGGGGGGGGTGTATAATAAATAATTAACTGTTTCTGGATTTATGCTTTCTGCCTAAATATTAGTAGTATTATTTGACAAAATTGCTGCTGGCTGTGAGGTTCATTACTCATTTTTATATGGTGACCTTTGAATGCATATTGTAAGTTTGATTTTGCTTCACCACATTTGATTCCAGCATAGTTATCTGGTGAGGCACATTAATTCTTTGAGTGGTTGAGAGATTCATATTCATAACATACTATAAATTTTACTATCTATCATATTGGATAGAATTCAGCTTGTGGAGAGGCATTTCATTTTGAGGTCAGCAAAATCATTGGTTGAGAATTCTTCATGCATAGAAAGATATATTGAAAATTTTAAGGATCTTGTAGTGGAAATTTTCTCCAGGATTGTTGCATGACATCCCTAAAAGGCTCAAACAAGGTGGAATCTTTTATAGGCTGTGTTCACCACATTCTCAATCAAACTAGTACTAGATATTGAGCACTAAACAATCACACTAGTGAATATCAGACAACAATTCGGGCGTCACATAGCTTGTTTCTCAGTTCTTAGAATATGGTACTTGCCTGCGTGATTTTCACTTTTCGTGTTTCTTAGTTCTTACATGAGATTTATCAGATTATCGAATGTTTTATTTCGAATGACTATAAAAAGCCATTATATGTGGCTGTTTTCTGTTGTTTCTTGGTTCTCCTTTCAGTCTTAATTTAATCCATCCTTGCCATAGTTTGATTGTTGCATCTCTTCAGCATCTGTAGCTAAATTCATTCCATCTCATATGGCTTCTTTCGTAATTGTGCTACTCCACACCTTCGCTTCGTTGATTTTCTAGAATACTAACAATATCCACAAGCCTACATTTAGTTGGCCTCAAGATGGTATTATCCTCCTATCTATGTATGAATACCTCTTCTTTTCTCCTGCAGATATCTCGTAATATAACAACAAATGAAATGGCTAATGTAATGCGTTACAGCTATCTGAAAGGTCCAGGTGGTCGATTTAGAAATCCCTTTGATCACGGGGCTAGGAAAAATTGTTCAGATTTTTTGATTAATGGTTACAATGAAGATGTGGAGCGTATTGAAGAATCAGGTCATGAAGAAGAAATCGGGATGGTGCAAATGGGATGCAACCCAAACATGCCAAATGGGGTAGTGCATCCTCACCAAACCAATGGCAATGGCCATATTGCTATTAATGTCGATCCAAAGAATTCAGATACTGGGCATGGTCATTCTCATTCTCAATGTAATCATCATCATAGTCATGGAAGAACAAATGGTGCTCCCCTAGGCTTGGGTTTGGGTCTCGGTAAAAGTAGTTCTCAATCCGTAACTGCATTGTAACACTTGGCTAGTTCATAGCCTATTGTTTAGTTGTGTGTACTGTGTATATGTCTGTAAACATTACAGCGAGATTTATTATTCACTATTGAGTATTATCACATCCTTATTTATCCTTTTGATTCAGGCGCTGGTAGTTCTCATTCGTTTCTATTTTCCATATTTCACCCTCTAAGAATATGTAAAATTGTTGCAGCCATTTAACGTCGTGTTGTTGCTGAGGGGGTTTTCACAGACCAGGACATTATTTTGTATAGAGACTATTGCTTCGTCATTGAAAGAACAATCAGGGAAAGCATCATGTTTTTTCGGTGTGAACTTAGTGGACATGGAAAAGAGAGGTTGTTGAAGAAAAATGAGACTTTTTTTGGCTTGTAAAATCCTCCAAGGATCAATTTTATTTCCGGGATAAAGAAAATTTTGTCAACAACTACCAATTAACAACTACCTATTATTTTTTTTTTTAAAAGAACTACCACAAAGTTGTAAAAACTTTAACAAGCACTACCACTCTAACAATTTCGTCTAGAATCTCTGGCATTTGAGTCTCACATTTTACCACTTTTTACCTTTATGAAGGGTAATTTAATCAATTTAAATGGTGATTTTATGAGGTAAAGGTATAAAGTGGAACCTACATGCCGAATATTCTAACCGGAATTGTTAGAGTGGTAGTGCTAATTAAACTTTTTACAACTTTGTGGTAGTTTTTTTTTAAAAAAATTTTAATAGGTAGTTGTTTTCAAAATACGTGCTTTAATTGGTAGATCTTGACATAATAATGAAATTTTCACACATTTCACACCAGTAACAATTTTGCATTCAAGTGCAATTGCGTTAGTTGGTTTGGTGGTTATTACTTTTTCTAATGTTAGTGCTTTCGTATAGTGAATAACTGACATGAAAGTCATTGGTGTGTCTTGTAAGTTGTAAACTCTGGTTGTAGTCGTTGTCCTCCTCAACCCACAGAAAGAGACTGCTTGTGCACTTGTCACATTCAAGTTGTTTAATATTCCGTATGTCGTGAATGTCAACTAACTTAACTGATAAATCGTGTAATCAAACATGGTCTCGTATAAACACGTATAGAAATAAAAATTTGTCAATTCATCAGAATGAGATGAAGTCTTAGCCCCCATTTTGGTAATTGTTTTGACTTAGATTGGACAAAATAAGTTGTGGTGTAGTGAAAAAGAAATCAAAAGTTCTGCTAAAGTGATAAGTGAGATAAAAAGTCCTACAATGGAATAATGGATAGTTCAAACAGAATTAGTCAAATAGACAAATACAGTAGTACAAAACCTTAATACAGTACCATTAAGTTTATTATAGACAATTTGAATATGTTTTGATTAGATGTTAGAAATTTCCTTGAAGATGTGATGTTGACAATGTCCTACATGAATAACATGATGGTCCACTTGAATTAAGTGTATTCCAAAACCAATTGCAATTGGATATTTGATCATATTTCTGATATTTGACTATTGGTATGTTGCTTTGAACCTAAATAAAACTTTTTGTGCCGCTTATATATTTTTTTTAAAAATACAATATCAATTTTAATCCCTTTGATCCATTTTGTTATTCCTATTTAGAATCATTTTGTGAAAAAAAGTTCAAACAAGAAGAACAAACAAGATTATCTTTTGTAATAAGGTTAGTGTGTTCTTAGCTTGCATTAGGGCCAAAACAAGGTAATGCAAAGCCTCGGAAGGCAAGATAACACAACGCCAAGTCAGGGGCATCATAAGGCAAGCATGATAACAAGAGTCAAACCATATTATCCAGTTAAAATAGAGTATATGAATAATGTAAAAGTCAAAGTGTTGCATTTAAAAGAAAACAGAAAAAATATATTATAAGTAAAATACAATCATAACTATTTACATATCTTCATAATTCATATAAATACTTCTATTAAAATAGTCTCGATTGCACCATCTATCATGAATCATAGTCGATTCTATAAATTAAAATCTTCATCCATTGAATACATGCATATTGATGGCTACTACTTTTGCACTTGCGTGCAAGTATGCAACCTAATGATTCCGCAAACCGTTTTCCAAAACGTTAATCTCAAAAAATAATACTCTGATACATTACAATATCATATTATTAACATTATCACCCCTAAATAAATTGATTAATTAGAACAATTTCATTAATAAGCTCAATCAAAGAAAAAAATCACTGACAAGATTACAGATAAATACAAATATTTAACACTTATATTTACCAGATAAAGTGGAAGCAAAGTAGGACCCACATCAGCCCCTTAGCTATTTATCTTCCTTATCCATTACGGCTTCCCACCGAACGACTACAACCGCCCACGTGTCATACATCCGTAGGTTCGGAACTAGGCTCGGACTCACCAGCTTTCTACCACAACATTTCACAGTCGTAACTTGTTACTTCTTCTTGTTCTTCCATCTTCGTGACATCATCATCATCATCAATTTTCTCTCTCCTCTTTTTTTGCTTCACTCTTTTACTTGATCGTCTTCAACAATTTTTCATCATCAATTTTCAAATTTGAAAGGTATTCTTTTAATTCTTTTTTGTTTTAAATTTCTTAATTTTGGCATTGAATTATGTTTTAATTAGCTGATCATTTAGGCTTTATCTGAGATTTTTTTTTGTGTAGGGTATATTTTGGGGATGGTTATGAAGATTATTATATTTAATTTTTTTTTTGTTTTTGTCAATTTTTTTTTTCGTAATAATGGAAAAGAATATATAATTCGGTGGTAATTCATAATAATAAATAATTTGAAAGTTTAGGGAATATGTTTCTGCGATTATCAGAAATTTCGGTAAAGTGATGATCTTTATTAATTTATATCTGCTTGTTTTCTTGTATGGGTTTGAATATGTATGTAATCTATGGTCGATATATTAGTTGGTACGGACTTGAAAATTGGTAACTAAGGCCTCGGATCAAATTCAGTCTATGTTATTGTCCTTTGGCTTTTTATACACTGTATATATAAAAAAAAATTAACTATGTGCAAGTAAAGTTACTTGTTAGTTGGTTTATTTTGTGAATGTGGTTTTTTGAATGAGTATTGGAGCTCAAACTTTCATTATACTAGTGGAAGTTTCTAATTTTAGGTACATTGTGTTAATATAAAGACATAGTATAAAATCGAAAACTTTTTGAGATGAAATGTTATCTCTTTTTAAATTGCCAAATTGGGTAGCTAAGGTATTTTTTGTGATCGTCTTCAATGACTGATTGACTGTTACATTAGGTGGTTCACATAGTCGATTCGACTCTGTAGAAAAGAAGATTAAAGGGGTCAGCCCATGATTTCTTTGTTCTTCTTCTTGTTTAGCTTCCTATTTTTAAATGTTTTTTGTATGGAGTAGCTTTTTTGGGTGTTGCTATGAGTAACTTAAAGGGTTATGTATAAGCGTTAAAGTGTTTTCTAAAGTAGTTATGATTTCGGAACTTATGACAAAATACGTGTAGATCGATTTTTATAAATGTTTAATATTTCTACTCTAAGCTTCTTATACATGGCCCTAAGCATTTTCCCTTTTACATTACGTGTAGATTGATATTATTAATGTTTAATGTTTTTACTCTAAGCTTCTTATACATGTCCCTAAGCATTTTCCCTTACAAATTGTGTGTATCTTTGTGCTTTTAATGTTTAATATTTCTATTCTTAAGCTTCTTATACATGGCCTAATATTTTCCCCTTTTTTGTTCGAGTCCAAGAATTTATGATACCTGTATTTGTTATATTGAGACTTTTAGACGTGATAGGTCCACAGTGTCTACTAATATGATCTATATGGATAATTTAAGCTTATAGGTTATCAATTTTAATGAAGAGATATGGTGCTTGAGAAAATTCATTGGCAATCAAATCTCGACGAATATTTTTTTTTTTTTTGGTTCATTCTGCATGCTATTTGATTGTTCTACTATGGCTGATGGAAGTTTCTGATTTTCTGTTGGTTACTTTGGTGACAAGGTCAACAAGATATTTAGGTGTACATGGGGTTTTCATATTCTCTCCAAAAATTCTTAGCTCCATTTGAAGCTTTTTAGAAATATTGTTGCTGCAATGGGTGGGGTTTGTTCGAGGAAGAGGGGTAACCAGGTCAATGAAGACGGTGTGCGCATAGGGGTCAATAGAAGATACAGTAAAAATGGGAGTTCAAAATGGTTACTGGGCACCCCATTCTTTAGGACAACATCAGGATGTCAGCCAGAGGGTGTCAATTGCCCGTCTTTGATGGAGCTATGCGTTCATAAAGCCTGTCAGGTAGCTGTGGTTTTTGTTAATGTTACGCCGTCTGTCTTCTACTTTTTGTATGTTATCTGTCAAAGTTATATAGATTATAATATTTATTTCTATGTACAGGATATTGATAAATACAAGTCATTCTCAGTGCTTCCAAGAGATATAAGTCAGCAAATATTTGATGAATTAGTCCGCTCACATCGCTTAACTGATGTTTCACTTGAAGCTTTCCGTGACTGTGCTCTCGAGGTCTGGCTCAACTGACATTATCGTGATATGTTTGTATGGATCCCTATAGTTAATTTGACTAACTGTGTTTTAATATTGATAGGATATTTGCTTGGGAGACTATCCTGGAGTTGATGACAGTTGGATTGACGTTGTCTCTTCTCAAGGCTCCTCTTTACTCTCTGTTGATCTTTCTGGTTCCGATGTGACAGATTCTGGGTTGGCTCTCCTGAAAAGTTGCTCCAATCTTCAAGCTTTGGCTTTCAATTACTGTGATCATATTTCAGCAAATGGCCTGAGGCATTTCAGTGGTAAATTTTTTAAGTTGCTTGTGATAATTATGAATTTTCTGATAGTTTACTTCTACGCTGTGCGTATTTATGATCTCTATATATCATCAATTTATCTTCCAGTATTCTTAACATTGCTGCTATCTTATTTTTATGGTCACATTCTTGATGGCCTCAGTTATTATCTTACTTTTCACTCTCGTTATGGTCCAGTCCCTTATTGTTTGCGCTATTTGACCCAAAAAGCTCTCACAAAAAGTGGGCCCATGATGCAAACAAAAAGGGAATGAGGGAGTAGAAATTTGTGAGAGTAATATGGTGAAGTTCAAATTTTTTGTGTGAATAGTCAAAATATACTGTTTTCCCATCTTCATTCAGGCTGTATCTTTTTGTGATACATCAACATCACTAAGTAATGTAGCTTAAAAATGGAAGTTATAATATGGAAGTATGAGTTATGTTTTGAAATAGCAGTATTTTTTCAAATTTGTTATTTGCATTTTCTAGATATTTTCTGGATAATGAAAAATAAAGACATGTATCCGGGTAGGTCAAGAACTCAGGATGGTATTATCAATTTTATTAAGGGAGCGGAAATGATTTTCATGTGTGTTCTCTATAGCCGAATTTTGATTATCTGCTTGTTAAGTTTTTTAAATAAGGGATAGGTTCATTTATGGTTAACTTTAGTCCTATTTTGTCTGCTTAAAAAGTCTTCCTTGATTCTGTGTACTTATTTACAGGTCATCTTTTTGTTGGCTAAATTCTTCCCTACATGACACTTTAGAAATCCCTTTCTTTGGTGCTTATACAAATAAAGAGGTTGGGGGGAAGGGGAAGGGGTGGGATTGGGGAGTTGAGGGTGAATGGTAAAGGGTATGGTTTACAGATGTCTTTATTACTGAGTTGCATCAGCATGGATTATATGCTATCTTTGGCTTTTTGACTGGAAACTGATGAACTTATTGTTTTTCAGGGCTTTCAAACCTTTCTTCTTTGAGTTTAAGGAGAAGTTATGCTGTGACCGTTGAAGGAATGCGTGCCTTCTCCAGCTTAGTCAACTTGCTTGAATTGGATCTTGAGAGATGTTCTGGGATTCATGGCGGTTTTGTTTATCTTAAAGGTTAGTTTCTTGGTGTATCCTTACATGTATAAAGTCAAATTTTCATGATGTTTGATCATCAATCATCATATTATAGAAGATCCATAAAATTTCAGAGTTTGTCTTTTTCATGGAGGAGAATGTGTCTTGACTTCATTTGGGTATAGCTTTTGTTGACTTGAAACTCCAAGGTGCATAGCACTCTAGGTCTCTAGGTAATCGGCTCTATGGCTTTTGTCCATGCAATATCACTGAATGAACCACTAAGACGTTTGAGGATTAAGAGGCATACCTAGATACATCACACAGTAGCCTTTATGGCAAATGTGATCATGAATTTAAGTTCGTTTTATGCTTCTTTTGTACTTAATCACTTGCAATGTTTTGACTTTTACGCTTGCCAATACACTACTTTGACCATTAATATTTGTAAATATATTATATACTAAAAATCACAAACAAGATGAAATTTTGAATTTTATGCTAAGACTAAATCCAACTACATTTTGCGTAATAGCATTGGTCAAAATTAGTTTTTTTAACAACAAAAGTCAAAAAATTGCGATTATTGATGAACTGAGGAAGTATGATGTTCTATAGATGCTGCATCAAATATAAACAGTAATTATTGCTTATTTACAAGATACATATTTTGGATATATTTATTTCTTGCCTAACGGAGTATAATTTTAAATTATGAAAATGCATTTATTTCTCCGCTTGGCGCTTTCTCTGCTGTGGCACGCCTTCGCTTATACTTCATGACCTAGGCTCCAAGATGGCCATCTCCTTGTCATGCTTCTTGCCTTTTAATACTTGATTTATTACACTACTAAAAATGTAATATAGTTCATACTTTGGCGGCCTGCTATCTCATGTTATGCTGAAATCTATACTTGGAGGCTCTGAGTTATTTTACATTTTGTTTCTGACCTGACGCCTATCAGGTCAAGAAATTTTTCATTAAATTGATTATTTAGCTATGAAGGGAGTTCTTACGTGGTGCACGCATGATGAGCAGTATTATTCTGTCCTTTAGACTTTCAACAAAAAAAGAAAGTTTTGGTCTTGATCAATTTCAGCTTTAGATTATAACAGACTGAAAATAATTAATCACTAAATGTGCTCTACTCCTTGTGTATTGTGAAGCATTTGTGTGTGTGTGTTTTTTTCTTTCCCAATCAACAGTCTATATAAAGAACCATTCTGCCAAGGGTTAAAATTATGTACAATTGAACCTGTAAATGGTAAATGCCTGTTATTGTTTACCTTGATGGTAAAATATGTATAAAGCAGTGAGCTTAGGCTCTTATTGGGGCTGGATAATTATCTTGGTTGAGATTCTTGAGATATTTTTTTTTTTTTTTCCTTTATGCGAACTATATTTTACTCTGTACTTTTCTACAATACCTCTGAACTTTTATGTTTCATATACTTGTAGGTCTCAAGAAGCTCAAGTCTCTTAACATTAGGTATTGTAAATGCGTTACAGACTCAGATATGGAGGCAATTTCAGGTGAGGTATCTGCTTTTTTTCACGTTCATTGGCTTTATAAGCATCAACTTGTCATGTATGTACATGAGTCTTGACTCTTGCAATCAACATTTGTGAAAACTTTCTCAATAATAGCTGCTTCTAAACCCATATTATTGTCCAGTACCTCTCATGGACCAACATAACATATCTTAGTCAATGATGTAACAAAAATGTGTATATTCTGTATAGCTAATTGTTAAGTTGTGACTATTTTTTTGTCAAAATGATTGCACATGTTTGCACTTTGGTTTAAGCTAGATTGATGTACTTTTTTTTTTCTCCTGCATTCTTTTATGGTACTCCAGAATTTACAAACTTGAGGGAGCTGCAAGTTTCTTGCAGCAGTATCACTGATGCTGGCGTTTCTTATTTGAAAGGTAGGCACCTTCCTAACCAATTTAAATTTCTGAGTCTATCTGCTACTTCTCCAGATTCTTTCATGTCACTTATAATTTCAAGTTTGTTTTTTTCCCCCTTTAATGTGCTGATGGAGCCAATTTCTTTGGGTGTCAGGATTGCAAAATCTTATATTGTTGAACCTGGAAGGTTGCCAGCTTAGTGCTGCATGTTTGGACTCCATTTCAGGTTATTTATTAATACCCACCATTTTTGTATTTCATATTCTGAAACTCAATGCTCCCTCCGCATCATTATGTTGTTCTTATTTTACTATTTACATAGTTTCCACTGTACACCTTTAAGCATAAACATCTTTATACATGTATTATAAAAATGGGTCTTTTACTTGAAGTACTAGGTAGTTTTCATGGATTTGTTGCTAAATCTGGTCTTTTTGTACCAACGGTAGTTATGGAGCGGTGGCAGTAATCGGTGATAATTTACACTGGTGTTGCAAGCGGTGGCTATATAATGATTATTTTGCAGAATTAATAGAACTTAATTCATCTATATAACTTCATATGAAGGCAAATCAAACAAGATCCCAAGAGTGTAATTTTTTCTTATATATTTATCGTGAAAGTATTAGATTAGATCCCATTCGCACTATCATATATATATATATATATATATATATATATATATATATATATATATATATATATATATCAACCAAGAACAAGGATCGGAAGGAGTATCTAACAAGAATGCCCATATCCGTAACTTTTAAATTGTATTGTGGGCTTATTACTTGTTAATTTTCAGCAGTGAATCAATGATGAAATGAGTAGAGGAAGAGAAATAAGTTCTACCTTCCTCTTATAGAATTGTGTATCACTAAATATTTTAAATTTTAGAAAGGAAAGTCTTGTGCTGTCCCCTTTTTTTGTTAAATAATGATTTTAACTTGATTATACAGCAAACCTTATGAGCGAAAAACATTTTAGATTGAATTGTTTATTGAAGGTCCTCATCCCTCAATTATTTTCGCTGATGCAGCTCTTGTAGCTTTGTCATACTTGAACCTTAGCAGATGCGGTCTGTCTGATCATGGTTTTGACAAGCTCTCAGGTTAGTTCTGTTGAGCTTTTATTGATTGATGATACCAATGCTATGTAACTTCCTCTAAAATTTGCTTTTTTCATGCTACCTCTAAATTTGGATCCTTGATTACAGGACTTAAGAACTTGAAGGTGTTCAATCTGGCCTTCAACAATATAACAGATGCATGTTTGGTTCATCTCAAAGGTTTTATTGCTTTTTCACTCCCCCTTCTGTGTAATTCTCTATGTGTGTACTTGCACTGATGAATGTAATAGGTTCCTTTTAATTTCTGCCTGTGGATGAGTGGAGGCTGTGTCATTTGCTTGGCCCTTATTTAAGTTAGTTTGTTTCACAAAAAATAGATATTACTTGGTTCTACCCTACGTTAACTTCTGAGAGGACATGTTTAAACTATTAATGGTCAATAATTACCCTGTAACCAATACTGAAAAAAATACGCTACATTTTAGCCTGAATTTTCTCGCTCTCCTTCAAGGAAAAGATTATCAATAAACATGATAATTTTTCTTAGTTAACTTGAAAAACCTTTAGTTTGGTTCTCAAAAAAGCAGAATTCCAATTTTTTTAAGCTTGTTGCTAAAATTAACATCTCAGACTTCTGCATCCTCACTTCTTTATCAGATGTTGCATACTTTCTTGAATAAATCTTAGCACTTATGTAGCAAGTTTAATATATGGCCAATTATTCTTGTTAACTTGAAGGGTTAGCGACTTGCATGAGTGCTCAGGTTGTTTCTTTCTTCCTTTATTGCATGATTTCAGGTTTATCAAATTTGGAAACCTTGAACTTAGACTCCTGTAGGATTGGTGATGAAGGACTTGCTAACCTGACAGGTTTGTTTTTTAACCTAACTCCCCCTTGTTCTTTCACCATATAATCTGTCTTGATGTTCACTTGGTTATTTTTAAAATTTTAAATATCAATTTATTTACAGCTGCTGTATTAATGCTTCTCTGCATGCTTTTGGAAGAATTTTCTATATTTAACTTATCTTAGGCATCATTAATGGCAAAAAATAGGAAGAAGATGATTCCCTTTAATAATAAACTGAAATACAGCATTTGTGTAGGATAATTCCACTTTCAAGATGTGGATTACCTCCCAATTTTGCTTTCTAAGCTAATCCAAAACACTCAATCAATATTTTACATAAGTCCTCTCTAATTATATATAGAGCTCTTCCTCTAACTAGATAGGATATTACCCAAATGACATAATACAGCTACCTAAATTTCCCCTCCCCTAATGTCAATACATAGCAGAATTTCGCTCTTGAACAAGCTTGTCTGTTTAATTGAGTATCGTATTCTTGCATGTCAATATCTTGGCTTGCAGATGAATTTTTTTTCTGAATTTCCTATTTAACCACCCCCGCCCCCTTGTGGCTTGTAAAATTGGCTTTATGACTCGTTTTATAGCTGATGGCAAATTATTGGGTTAAGATTCAATTACATTTTGTTTTAGGATTATGCTCTTTGTGTCCTTTATAATGTTATGTCTATGCCAATGAGGCCCATTTTCAATGTGCAAATGTTTTGTTTCTCTGGTTTCTGATAATTTGCTGCTTACTATGAAGCTCAATATCTTCTTCTTTTTCTTTCTTTCTTTCTTGGAATGCTTGAAGATTCAGTGCCAGTGGCTAAGGCTTAGTTAGGGCTTATATTAATGATCTTTAGATCTTGTATGTTTGCATTTGGGAGCATTTGTATGCTAAACATTGTGATTCTTCTGAATAGGACTTTTGCTGCTGAAACATTTGGAGTTATCAGATACTGAAGTTGGAAGCAATGGGCTGCGGTATCTGAGTGGTAAGACATCATTCTTGTGTCATTATTGGCAGCTTTTTTGGGAATGTTTTTTCTAGACTTCTATTGATGAGAACTGACTTGATATGATCAAATCTTTTTCGAACTTGTAGGTCTGGTGAATCTTGAGAGCATAAATTTGTCATTTACCTTGGTTACTGATGCTGGTCTGAAGAAGCTGTCGGGTTTAAGTTCTCTGAAATCACTAAACCTTGATGCTCGCCAAATCACTGATGTTGGGTTAGCTGCTCTGACAAGTAAGCAATTTTTGTGCATTAACAAATGTATTGCTTCAAGAAATATGATACGGAGTAGTATTTTATTACTCAGCTTGCTTCAACTGTGAGCCACTTCGCATATTAGAAGTTGCTACATACATTTAAATGTGGAATTATATTAGAAGTTGCTACATACATTTAAATGTGGAATTGTATGTCAAAAAGTTTTATTCTGTATCAAAAAGTTATATGTTGTCTTGTACATAATGTTGCAGGTCTGGAAGGCTTGACTCATTTAGATCTTTTTGGGGCACGAATTACAGACTCAGGGACTCAATATTTGCGCTGTAAGTCATGCCAACTTGCTTTTGTTATACAATGTTTTGTACTGATTTATGACAGCAGCATTAATATTATCCTGAATCCTGATCGTTAAAGAAGGTTCTGTCCATTACAGGATTGTTCTTTCTTTTTGGGAAATAACATTTATGTATTACCACACCTTATTAATTTATTCCTTTCTGTCCACTAATCCACTTGTCATTAATTACACTATTCTTGTATACTAGAAAAAATTCATCCCCTTGTCATGAATAACAACTCACATCTTGCTCTGCATGTGGGTTCTGCTGTTTTAACATCTCATCTAAGCTCCCTCTCATGCTGAACTGATTTTACGAGTTTTCCAGTGCTTAAGGATTCATGCTGTGTAATTGCCAGTATGAATTGCCAAATATCTTTGATTCTTGTGTTGTGTTTAGCACATACATTGGTATAAAAATCTGTTGACTTCACTCCCACCCTTGCCCACTCCCCATACTCAGGGAAGTGAGAGCTGACCCAACTTATTGGGACTGGCCCTAGTAGAGATAATGGAGAGTTGGCCTGTTTTCCTTCTACCCTAATCCTTGGCCTCAATCTAATAGTGTGGGCTAGAAGAAAAAGAGGTGTGCTAGCATGATGGTCTATTGAGAGGGGATTCTCTCTCTCTCTGTGTTGGGGGAAAGGGGAAGTTACTGTTAAAAAGATTTATTCTTTTGGTATAAATAAAATCCTGTTGAAATACCTTATATTTTTGTTCCTGTTGCAGGCTTCAAGAACCTCCTGTCACTTGAAATATGTGGTGGAGGCTTGACGGATGCTGGTATGAAGAACATTAAAGATCTTACTTCTCTTACGCTGCTCAATTTGTCTCAAAACTGCAGCCTCACTGACAAGGCTCTGGAAATGGTTTCTGGTACGTCTTTACTGTTACTCGAGATGGCTACAGTTGCGTAGATATAAAATTTTTTGTTTCAATTAATTTTAAGCAATTCAACTTTTCTACAAGATAGGTTTGATAGTAATAGCACTTTGGGTTCGACTTAAAAAATTAAGATCAAATGTGATCATATTATTATAAAGCATGCAAAATGGTTGGTTTGGGTAATCTTGTTTTGACTTCTTATGCTAATTAAAGGGGTGAGCCATCCACTTATCTCAGCCAACTTTTCACCAAGCCTCCATTGATCAATCATATCTATGTTCTTCCCATTAATTAATTTATGTAGGGGTGGCAAAGTGCGAAATTCAATCATGAATCAATGCGATACTTTTTTTTAGACACCATACATTGTGTGGCTACTAATTGCATAAGGAGGGAATATCTGAAAACGTAAATCTACCCTGCGTATTTTGTAGGATATTAAGTTTTGTATAAAACTGTGTTGTAATCGTTTCCCTGAATCTCTTCCCCTCCCACGCTAACACTTTCATTTCTAATTAAGTTAACCAAAATCCGGTGTGATATGCATATGTTACACTGATATGGAAGCTGGAGTTGTTGCCCTTGTTGGGTCTACTCATATCTTCCTGTTCATTGGTGTAGGATTAACATCATTGGTATCTTTGAACGTCTCAAATTCTCGTATAACTAATGATGGCCTGCAACACTTGAAGCCTTTGAAGAACTTGCGTTCGTTGACACTAGAGTCATGCAAGGTAACTGCATCTGAGATAAGGAAGCTGCAGTCCTCCGCCCTTCCTAATCTGGTCAGCTTTCGTCCTGAATAAGATCAGCTGCAACTGTAAATAGTCCATTTCTGTCGTCTTTTCTGGCATTGTACATATAATGGGGGGAAATAAATACACTTTTAAATTAAGATTAAAATTAAGAAATGGAGTGCGATCTTGAAAAGTAACTTTGATGGATCATTGTAAATAGCTTCGATTTTCTGCACTAGTGAATTTATAGCCATGCATCTGAACTCTGTATATAATGCTTTCACTACACAAATGGAAGTTGTATCTTTTTAACTATTGTATAAAACTATGTGTTTATTGAAGTTTAAGGTTTCGATCTTCAGTTGATAAGTTTTAAGATAGTAAGTTCAATCACCCCTGTATTTTATCTACTAATACGTAAATTGTAAGCTCTATCGCCTCTTGATTACCGAATCAATTATCCTCGCATCACTTAGCATACATTATCAACAACAAATTCAAATCGCTGATGCGCTATTCTTCCCTTTTTTAAATCAATTTGAGATAGAAACAGAAGACAGGATCCAATTGTAATATAATCAGATTCATTCTGTAATATAATGAAATCCAAAATGATTCTGATGTCAAATTGTCAATATGGAATCATGGATGTGTGTATTTGTACACCAAAAGATAAAGATTCAATCTTCACTTAATAAAACCTGTATCTTTAAGAATATGGCACAAATCTATGTTTTTTATTATCTTCAGTTAATAATAAGTACGGTTGTGATAAGTTTTAGGATTTTTCAAACATTTTCATCATGTGATACCTACTTTGATAGAAGAATCATGAAGAAAGAAGAAGTCTGTATTAATTATTAATTCTTTTTTTGAAATTTTATTGAAATAAACATGTTAACTATCATTAAATAGCAACATTGGCATTTTCCAACTAAGAAGGAAATTTAACATTGATTTAAGATTACTACAACGAAAAAAATTGGCTAATACAAACCTTTCAAACTATAACCATTCATCAATCTTGCTCCAAGTTCCATTCCTACAACGGGGGGCAAAACTATCACAAAATAAACTAAATAAAAAGACATCAGACACACACTATTTCGTATACAATAGTTACAAGCCAATCCTCTTTTTTTTTTTTTTTTTTTTTTTGGGGGGGGGGGGGGGGGGGGGGGGAGGGGGGGGTGGTATGATGTTGGGCCACAAAATTAGTAGCTTCTTGCAAAACCTTGGTGTAGCTCAGTTACTGCCTACAGAAACTGCTGGCCCTCCTTTATGTGTGACTATAGTGCTCGATCCTTGGACTGCAGAATCGGGAGTGTGTGTGCTACCACTTTGCCACACCTCATAGCTCAAAATACAAATACAAAAGCTACACTAGCTGAGAAAGAATATGACAAGTACTTTCTGTATGGAATTATATATTACCTTTCAATTCTTGCATTGGGAATGTGATGAATTTAAAGCAAAACGCCGCCATAAGTGGACTTCAACTGTTTCATCTCTGCCCGATATGGTGGTATAAAATGTACAAACAACAAAATTGCAACTTAGTTCCTTTTTCCGAATGAAGGCCTTGTGAGTTGATGCACACAGAAAAAAAAATTGCCTGACCTGCATAAGAAAAGCAGAAAAAATTGCTACATAAATGAAGGCAAGTTACTCTAATATATAGGATTAGAAACAGAGAAGGATTCAATACAGCTATATATTATGCTTTAAAGGTATAATCCTTTCCTTCTGTCCTATTCTATCATGTTACCATATGGCATACCCTATACTCGAAAATCATCTACTAATTTATCAATGAAAATCAACATAAGCCCAAGTAATCCATCTGTTCAGCAACAAGTTTAAATACAACTATATATTTGTCCTATGCAAAACAATATCTCAACAGATATTAAACTTATATCTGGACTCAACAAACTTACAACTGGCCTATTAAAGCAGCCCCACATTTTCTTGTTGCTAAACATGGTATATAATGAAGTAGTGTCCTTCTCTATAGCATCAAAGAGACTTGAGACTTTCAGGGAAGCTCATCTCCGCCGAGGTAGTGGGAATTATTTTGTAGATATCTTCCCAAATCACTGTCCCTATTAATGGGCAGGACACTTGTATACACCAGGATCAACATCATTGAAGCCAATTTCTCAATAAGATGCAGAAAGTCTCTGAACATTGGACTTGTTAGATAGGTTTGAATCGAACTTTAATCACTTTCGTTTAGTAATAAGTTTCGACAGGGTTGTGATTTAAAAACTGTCTGACTTCGATAGGGTTGTGATTTGTGAATTTATATATCACAGAATATAGCCCTTGAACTCAATTTGATAACTCTAGTCAAGTTACCAGTTGGGATAGTCATGTTAATATCTAGCTGCTAGGGGAAAAAAAATGATTAATTGTCTATAAGCAGGTAAGACAAGCTACTGTTTCTAACATAGTAACAACAATCAACCAGAAAACCATCCAATACAAATCTAGGCAACCTCACCTTCATAAATTTCGAATAATTGAGAGAAACAAACAATTAATCAGATAGGACAAAACAATGCATGTGAAAACTGCAGAAAAAGCTAAGCACATTCACTTACTCACCTCAATTAAGAAATTACACATCTGGAAATATTTGTGCTCGGTACTTCAGGAGTAACCTAAGTTCTGGGACATACTTCATGGCATCTGAATTGGAAATATCTTAATCATGCCTGATCAAGTGCATAATATATTTTTGACACCCGTCGCCGCAGTAATGGTTCAAGGCGGAATGACGGTACTCCAGTGTACCACCTTTTTGCATCATCCATCTCGTTCCATGCTTGTACAATCTCATCAATCCTGAAACCTACACCTAATATCATGACACATAGTTGAGCACTCTAAATGGCAAAAGGGTTGAAATTAATGCATAGTTCTGTAAAAGATCTAGACATCTACCTTCTACCCCGGAATCATTAGAACAGTGATTCTTCACCATAACAGCTATATCAGTCGGAGAAGCTCCTGCAAGTTCAAATTTTCCAAGAGCGACCTCCAGACATTCATGCCAAACTGGCAGGTCTAGCTTAAACTCCATGATAGATCTTTCATAAAGCATGGTACCCCATAGAACATTAACCTGGGAACTGATAGTCATGGCCATCTCTTCACTATCAATAGTTGATATATCTTTAAATAGACGATCAAAACCCATTTTCTGCATCTTAGCATGGCTGTTCCTAAGGCTGGAGAGTGAACTTTGACGCTGCAGCTCTGAATCCTCCCACATTTGCACACCTTTTTCTATGTTTTCCTCAGCTTTATTATACAGATCAAGGACACCATTTGGCGACCATGTGTCTAAATCATCATTGTTTGCAACTGCATAGTACCAAGCAAGTTTTGCCTGCTCAAACTGCTGTAGTGCTAACGCTAGATGACCTTCGTAGAAATTTGGCTTTATCTTAAGTGCTGCTTCATATTTCTGCCCTGCTTTCTCATACTCCTGTTGGGCCCAATCATAGGCAATTTTTACCTGATCAAGCATATTTTGTTGGGTCGAATCTTCTACAAAATGTACTCGCTTCCTCGCCCGTGCCATGTGGACGTTTCCCCAATTAAACAGTGCCAATGCTGCCATTTCCTGAAACTTTTCAGCTGCTATATCAAACAGGACCTGAGCTTCTTCACAACAAATTGTCTCTTCCATGGCCTCAGAATAGAGCTTCACCCCTAGCTCATGAAGATCCAAGTATGCATCAGAGCTGAATCCAACATAATTCTTGAACAATTGAGCAAATGGGACAATCCATTCTTCAATGCACAATGTCCCCTGCTCCTTTACCTTTTTTCCTCCACAACTTCCGTTCTCTGATAAATCTTTACCTCTTATTTTCTCATAGAAAGGATCATGCTCTGGACTAACTTCTACTATGTAAATCTTCACGGAACCTCGGGGGCCAGCAGATGCTTCAGCCAATCTTAGCTCATCACTCGTAGTAATAGTGATCATGTCACCCTCATGATCTTTGTATTTGACAAGAACTGCCTTTGACGTTGGAAACCTATCCTGTATGACCTCCCTCAATTTCAAAAGACTACAATTTACAGGCAGTTGTGCCCACCTAATATCCTCTCCAAACACCAATTTCACATTATTCTTTGGCTCATCTCCATTTGCATAAGACATCTTCTCCTCAACCACCACCTTATCCTCGGTTTTCTTCTCTAACAGATCCTCAACTTCTCTCTGCTGACTATCTTCTGCTTTTGTTTGTACATTGTTCTTCAAGGCCTTCTTCTTTTCTTGGGATCTGGATTTTTTATCTTCCTTAACAGCCACTGTCTTCTTGTTTACTGTTTTCTTTTCCAAAATGTCCTCCAAGCATTTGCCGTCACCTTCTGCCTTCCCCTCCTCATATTTCGAGTTTTTTTTCTTCCTAGATTTCTCTTTTACTGCTTTGGATAGAGGCTGTGAAGCTGGAGCACTAGGAGATTCAATATACTCAGGAAGAGGATGGTCAAATACTCTATCACCTCTACTTTCTAAAGTCTGCTTCACCCTCTCCGCTATCTCCAAGGCTGTTAAATTGTTCGGCTCCATGGATAGAACTGCATTCAAATCTCTTAAAGCCAACTCCAACCTGTTGAGCCCCTCATAACACCTAGCTCTCTTTATAAGAGCCTTGCTGTACTTTGGAGTAACTTCTAGAGCTAAATTACATTCATGAACAGCTCGAGGATAATCACTTATACCCATTTGCATATAACAAGCAGCCATATTGCTGCGAAGATAAGCTACATCTATGTGATTTCTCGGTAGCAACTTGACCGCCTTTTCATACTTCAACAAGGCTCCTTCAGAGTCCCTCCCTTGAAACAATCTGTTACCCTCATCCTTCAGCTCTTGTGCCATGGCAATGAAAACTTCTGTATCCTTATCATACGCCCTCGGGCTGTTATCTACTGATCTAGTTTGCATTTGGGTCAAATCTCCTGATTTCTCCCCAATTTGTTTTTTCTTCTTCCCACTTGACTTCCCCATTGCAGACCTACCAACCCAAATTCACAAAATTTTCAGTTCCACAACACTAGATCATTCCTTTCTTAGATATACTACTCCTTTCTTAGATATACTTCATACTTATTTAACAAAATACATATTCTTAGCAATTTTACTCTATAGATTTCGACAGAAATTATTGGTCAAAGTTCGATCTTGAAAATCCAAAAGTTCTAGATTATAATAGGAGTAATCCCAATTTAGGAATGGAGAGAGTATCAACTAATTCAAAAATGCAGGAAGAATTTGTATCAGCATTATCTCTTACAAGCTGGAAAACCCATTTAAAATCCCACAAATTTTGTTTTTCCAA